AAAATGAACCAAGAAATGAATGGGGTGGATGCGGAGGCGACGGCGGCGGAGAGGGCGGAGAGAGAGAGGGTGAGGAGGGAGATGAGTGTTATGAATGGACATGAAAAGATAGATTATGTGTTCAAGGTGGTGGTGATTGGAGACTCGGCAGTTGGGAAGACTCAGATTCTGTCGAGGTTTACAAAGAACGAGTTCTGCTTTGACTCCAAGTCCACAATTGGGGTTGAGTTCCAGACCAGGACTCTCACCATTCAAGGAAAACTCATCAAGGCTCAGATCTGGGATACTGCTGGCCAAGAAAGGTTGGTTAGTTTATATCATTCTCTCCTACCTTTTGTTTTCTTTTATTTTTCAAACTCTAGGAATGAATTTTCGTGTTTATGTGTCTTGAACTCAAATGGTAATGGAGGCTTAAGAACCATTTGTAAAGATTTCAGAGAGGGTTTAACAGCCCACTACTAATTGATCCAGTACCGATCGATATTGTTCTTAACTTAACCACTTACTTCCTGCTATAACAGCATGTGAATGGTTTTATCACAAAAAAGTCGAAATCTTTTAGTTCAAGTAGTGAGGGAAGATGACCGATGGAGTATTTGAAACTTGAATACATATTCATAGTAATCATGGTTTAGGGTATGTGTGATTACTTTACTTTTAACAATAGATAGGACAAGGTAAACTTAAATTTAAAAAATAATTAAACACTGTCACGTAATTTGACGAATAAAATTAGTGTATGCAGAGGTACTCAAATGTGCAATAACTTAACAAGAAGCCTTAACTATTTGAGATTTGGGATCTAGCTAGTGGAACTGTGCCAAATGAAGAAGGAGACCAGGTTAATTTAGAAACATGCTAAAAATAGACAAATAATATTACCCAGTGTTTACAGAAATACAGGTTCTTCTTCTCTCTGTTTTTGCCCTGCATGACAGACGTCAGCAAAGGGATCTGCATAAATATTAAAGAATCCTTTTATGCTGATGCTGTATTTATGTATCAGCTGCACCATTAATGAACTGCAACAATACATTCAAAATTTTACTGATAGATTTAATTTCCGAAAAAAATAATATTCCCAACAGAAATATAAGTTCTGTGGGGTGGTTTTTTTTTTTTTTTTTTTTTTTTTGTAAAATTAAATTTGGACAAGAATTGTGAAAAATTGAAGATGCATTTGTTGTTTTTCCTTGTAGGTATAGGGCGGTTACAAGTGCATACTACAGAGGTGCGTTAGGGGCAATGCTGGTGTACGATATCACCAAGAGGCAGACCTTCGATCATGTAGCTAGATGGGTTGAGGAGCTGCGGGCCCATTCTGACAGTTCGATCGTGATCATGCTGATCGGGAACAAGGCCGATCTGGGGGACCAGAGGGCTGTGCCGACAGAAGATGCAGTTGAATTTGCTGAGGAGCAGGGGCTGTTCTTCTCAGAGACATCAGCCTTCAGTGGTGACAATGTGGACTCTGCATTCTTTAGGGTTCTTGAGGAAATATATGGTGTGGTGTCTAAGAAGGCATTGGAATGTGGCAATGAGATAAAATCCAATGGGGTTGATCTTAAAGGGGAAAAAATTGATGTTATTTCTGGTTCGGAATTGGAAATTAGTGAGATGAAGAAATTGTCTGCTTGCTCTTGTTAAATTCCAATTGCAAGAGGCAAATGCAGAGGTCTCGTTATTCTTTTGGGTTTGTAAGCCATTGGTGTTTATGTTTATTTTATTTGTTTTGTTTTGGGTAGCTAAGGAAAATGTGTAAAAGTAAAGGGGGGAAGTTCTCTTGGACGAGGTAAGTACTTTATCACTTGAGCTACATAAGTATTTACGATTGGCGTTGTGATTATAGTTACTATGATGTGATTATTGAACCCAAATGTTATAAGAGCTTAACAAATATCAAGTTTTTTATTTTTTATTTTTTTTAAACATAAGTGATACAGTTTCATTACCAAGAATAATTAATTACAAGAGTGTTAGATGGGTACATATTATCCAACGACTAATTTCTTGATCTGGAAATAATTTGCACAAAACACAAATAATTTTAAACCCGTATTGAGCTACCACTCAAATCACACCACTAAAACTAAGAGTCCAGAAGCAAAAATGTCAAACATTATTGCAACGACTTATGGTATACGACTTTACCAGCGAAAATTGTAGAGTAGGTTTTGGGTTTGTTCCTAATGGGAAGAGATCATCTCCGGATCTATCCAACCAAATCCTAGGAATCCGGAGGTTTGGACCCTTGAAATTTGATTCAACGACTACAAACAGAGGGTCATTCTAAAAGTTATAATAATTGTAACCGTTGGATCAAATTTGAAAAATCTGGATCTTCGAATTCTTAGAATTTGGTTGGAGAGATCCGAATGGGATCTCTTCCCGTTCCTAATGTAATGTGAAAAGACAATCCAATGTGGACGTCGGCTCCTTAATCGCATCTTTGGATGAAAGAACTTATATAGAATAGCTTCACATAGATCGTGACGTTGCTATTCAATAATATAATTTTATATGTAATAATATCTTTACATAACATTATATTATTGGACTAAAAAATTATAATAATTGTGAACTTATTTTACGTAAGTTGTTATCTCTACTTTGCATGATACAGAGGGGGCATTGAAGGAAAGCGAAAGGTGCGGTCGCATAGAGTCCCAAATTTGAAGGGGCCCCCAAAATTTTTGTCATCTAATATTACGTAATAAGTTCTATATTAAAAAAAAAAATTTTGTTAGTACTTTAAAATCTCTTTGTGCACCTCTTATAAGAGTAAATTTTTTTCCTTTCTAAGTATAGAAATTTGGAGTACAATGATATATTTTGCATGCTGGTAATAACACCCAAAAAACGATATATATAATAATATTATATGTTCAAGTGAAACTTCATAGTTAGAGTTTTTGGTTTTTTTTTTGTTTTTCATGTTTGGTTGTTTAATTAAGAATGAACTGCTTTTGATTATTTTAGTGAAGGTTATGTTTGTAACTCTTTTTACTTATAATTAATGACATGTGTAGACTAGCATTCAATGAGTGTTAAAGGTTGTTTTGATTTAAATGATTGTTTTCTAATATCAATACATTATTTATAAAAAATAAATAAAAACTAAAAAAACTATCTCAAGGAGGAATCCTTTTTCAAATTTCATATAAAGTTTCTGAAATCTTAAAGACGGCTATATATAACCAAAAAGTTTATACTTGGTTCGGTTGGTTGGATCATTAAAGAGAAAGTCCCTATGCAGTCAGATAATCAAATGTGGATCTTTGGTAGTAGGTAGCATGGACCATATTTGGGCCCTGCCTCCAAGGCATGGCTTAAGGCATCATTCATATTGTAAATATGGCTTTGGAGATGGGTTTACATTCTTTTGATTGTGTGATTGCTTTGACAGTGCATTTTACTTTTTAATAGATCGTGTCAAGTGGTTTGATGTTTATCCGTTGATTGGTCTAACTCTTACACCATTCTATCTTTTATGTAAATTCAAATGTCTCATATCTATCGCAAAGATAATAAGATGATTGATTGTTTAGCAAACTTCGGAATTCAACATGTTAAGGTTCATTGGTGAAATTTTTGCCCTCCGCGTGTTACTACAATTTTTGCTTATGCTTGTGGGAAACATAAACTAACTTTATCAAATAGAATAATGACATGTGGATTGTATGCTCGCTATGACAATTTTGCCCTTAGCATCATGAGCAGACCACAAACCAGCTCAAAGAATGTGACATTTGTCTGCCCTCCATGACGGACGGTGTGAAAGACCTATATTTTCAAAAATACTTATATGTTAAGTGGCGCGATTAATTTCATTTAGCTTTGTATTATTATCCATTTAATGTTAGGAAAACTAATGAAAAATGCTTGAAAACTTTGAGTTTTAACGAAAATGACAAAATAAAGGATAAAATGAATAGTACTAGGATTGACATTTTAGTGTAAAAATATGGTTTTTCGTTAAAATGAACATTATCGGGAGCTTTTCGTTAAAGTTCCCTTAATCTTTTCAATTGATAATTTGTCAATTATTTTTATTTAATTTCCTACTCTAATTAATTGATCATTGGGATCCAATTAGGTCAAATGATTTATACGGTAGTATTTTTACTTTTTATTTGGTCTTATATTACATATTATTAAAAGTAAATAACACAAAACTATTTCAACTATGAGTTGAACCGCAATCTCATACCTTATATTTTAAACGGTTTGATAACTAGTACATGAGAGTTTGATATTTTCTCAAACTATTTTATAGTATCCAAATTATGTTGATTTGATAAAAATATGGAATTAATTTTTAATGATCATCCTATTTATATATGTATATGCTTGATCTAAGCCAAGCTGTTTTTCAAACTATATATATTGTATAGGGTGAAGTGTCGATTTAGTCCATGAATTATCACCTCAGTGAAAATTAGGTCTATGAATTATTTTTTTGGTAAAATAAGTTCCTAAATTCATTAAAAATTGCTAATTTCATTCCTAATTATATTCAAAGCTCTTTTATCAATTTTTTCGTCAATTTAAGTCACTTGACATACTTTAGAGTGTTATACCGTTATTTTCTTGCCTATAAGCCCTTAAAATTTCATATGGTTGCGAATCTAACGTCCAATTTACCATCCGAAGTTTAACTTACACTATTTCTTATGACAAACTATCAATTTACCCTCCAAAGTTAACTTCATACACTATTTCGTTATGAAAAACTACCAATTTACCCTCCAATGTGTCTTGCCTGCAAATAATATGACTTAAATTGATGGAAAATTGAATATAGTAGCTTCAAATATAATATTAGGGATGTAATTGGTAAATTTTTATAATTTAATAACTGATTTTTCTGAAAAAAATAGTTTAACGACCTAATTTTCACTGAGGTGATAATTCATGTACTAAATTGTCAGTTCACCTTATTATATATTTTGTGTAGCTATTATATTTATATATTGTTTTAACTATCTCAAAGAGGAGTAAGGATCCTCTTCGAATCTGTCTCCTCTGGGTTCTGTGGACCAAGTTATCTTGGTCGTTTGATACAAATAATGCAGTCAGAATCTTGGAAATTGAAAAAAGGGAAGAATTCTTAGGTCTCACACAGTGGGAATTCATCGAAGCATCCGAGTCGACTCAAAGGAAAACCACCACCACCGCTCCTCTCCGAACAAACGGATAACGACGGGCCTGCTGGTGGCCGATCTGATCCCTGCCACTGTCATCGCCGGTGGCAGCGAGAGGAAGACAGGCCTGCTGGCCATGAGGACGAAGGTTACAAAATCGGCGTTGACGAGTAGAAAGCCCAAGGGTCTGGAGGATCGGGAGTAAATTGATCCAGAGAGCATCCTTACCCCAAAGAAAGCAGCATGTTGTTATCGAATATTATACAAAGCTTATATACAACTGTAAAAGGATATCTTCACTTGTCTACTAATTAAAGCTATTTATATTCAAGAGGTTTCTTTACAAGGGAAAATGACCAGGTTATTTTAGATCAAACCAAATGACTTATTTATTGAGTGGTGTTAAATTAGTGATTCTAATTCAATTAGGATTAGAATTGACGTCATGCATTTAGTGATATCTACTCTTGTGAATAGGAGTTGCTCAAAGTGGATTCTTGTGTTTGTAATTCAGATCAATGTTTAAGGGAATTCGGGCAGACCATTAGGAATATTAATTTTATTAAATTTCGCGAAGTGCTATATAATTGTTGGTCTCATTGATTGATAAACGTGGTTGGATGTTATTGTATTAATTATTGCTTCAGTTGGATGTTTATTGGTTATTGATTATGGCATGCATATATCAGGTGAAATTCATATCATGCATTGCAATAATGAGAGGCATAAGTCGTGTGAGTTACATGGGTTTGTGTCATGATGAAATTGGAATAGTTTGGTGTACTGGAAATACTGGATCCAACCCAGAGACCAGGCTTTCTAGTAAGCATAATTGATCGGCTGTAAAGGCGATCTTTATGTGAGGGATGGCTTGACGACCAAGAGATGTACATTGTCTTTTGAGATAACAATGATAGGTGCACGAATATGTTATGGGTGGTAATTCATATAACAAGACACTCGAGGCCAAAGCACGGTAAAGCCTATGTGTTTTAGAGTATGTATTAATGAGAACAGAGGTGGGAATGAGGGAATATTCATGTATCATCATTGAACCATATTGTTTCTAATTGATCATGATTGAAATATATGATTAGATGACACTTAATTTAGTATTGTCAATTTATTGTGGTAAATGATATGTCTATACTGACCTGCTGAAGCTCACCCCTCATTGCTTATGCAGGTTTACGAACTAAACAATCAGAAAGGTGGGCGGAATGAGATCAGATTAGATACAAAGCTAGCAGTTTATTAATTTATTTTTTTAGCCTTGTAAAGAATTATGAGTTTTTTTTTATAAGAATAATTTTATTTTCATCCCCTTTCATTTTTTTATTTTTTTATTTTTTTTAATTTGTAGCTTTTGTTCTTGGGGTTTCTACTGACTTTGGGTCCGGGTGTGCAGACCGTGGCACCCGTTTGTCTTATGAGTATTGGACTTTTGGGTCATCAATGCATCAAGAGTGTTTCGGGCCCATGATATCTCTTGTTATCGGGACATACTTGGCTAAATGGTGGCAATAAATCGACTATTCAGAATCTCATCTTTGAGTGTTTGGCACACCTTCGCTCTTACCAGCATGAACCTTCATGACTACTTACTAGAAAAATTGCGAAGAATGGTCTACACCATCACCAGCAGAACGTTAAGATCTGCCTAGTATGGCCTGCAACCTCTCAACCCTGTCACCTGTTAGGGTTTATGTTATATATAGCCAAGTTAAATAAGAAAAAACGATAATTGCCACTTACTACTCATAACTCTCTCAAGTTCTTATTTCTCTCGAACCACTTTTATGACTCAGGCATTAGAGGCCCTTTGGCGGATACCCTCCCTTCTTTTCTAGGTGTTCGTCAATTAGGCTAATAGTGTTTCTTGTTTGTAGGTGAAATTTCATCAATTCAACTACGTACGAAATTTGCATCTACAATGATCTTTTAGGGCTACTGAACATTCACTTCTTTTAAGAGTTGCTTTAATGAATTTCTCACCTTATAGATCTAAGTTTCGTTGTTGCCTTGTTGGTTTGAGTAGAGGTCATCCTTTCTACCTCTTCCATTTCATTTTATGTTTCCATGTACCCTAACTTATTGTACCTTTTTATTTTATTTTGTGTTGATCAATATATTCACAATGTCTTCGTGTGATAGCAATGTTGAGGTGAATTTTGACATTACTGTTTAATTTGTTTTTGGAATTAACTTGCCTCCTCAATGTTTCTCCTCAATTCATTTCGTGACTGATTCACGAAACTCAGGATTTATGAGCGGAACGGTTATAATTCACATTCTAAAGGTCACCTATACTAAAAACCAATAAAATATGAGATCATTTAGTCATCAAACTGTACAAAAACAGATGGACGACTTCGGGAAAATCATTATGAACTGTCTATCTATTTGTTACAGTTAATTGATTAAATGATCTTAGTTTTGATTAATTTTCTTATAGAGATGATCTCTACAAAGTGCTTTATAATATAAGCAATTCCAACCATTAAAATGAAGTTTTGTGAGTCGAACATGAAGCAATTTGAGAAGGAATCAAGCCAAGCTTATCTCTTTTTAAAATAAATTTCTCATAAGAATATGTATGCCCCAAGCTCAAGGCAGTGTTGGTTGGTATAGGAAATATGTGCTCCCCATCAAACATGCTTTCTATTAAAAACTTCCTTTTTGTTTCTTTCTTTATGATGGCAAAGTAGAAGTTTGTTGGACTAGCCCCGTCTATCCATCAGTTCCAAAACAGCATCAGACAATCATGAGTTAGGTTGCGGGTAGCAACTCTCCAAAAAAAAAAAAAAAAAAAAAAAAAAAAAAAATAGGGAGATTAGGTTGCCTAACATATATCATATAACCCTTGCTTAGCTTTGCCTTTCATTATATCCCAACCACCGCCCATGCTTCAACAATAATTATCAATTTTTACTTATAATCGTAAGAGTTTAGTTTTCTTTTGTCAATGAAAAAGAGAGATTCACATTAAAAAAAAAGTAGCATATATCGTTCTAAGAGTTATATGATTATCAATCATAAGGTAAGAGCTGAACAAATGGAAAAGCTTGTGCAAATAGTTTATGATCGATGCCTAATCATAACTTTTTATTTGTCTACTGCTACAGAACTTTCATTTAACAATACCATTGTAAAATTTATCGAACAACTTCAAATTTATGTTATTAGATTATGAATGAGAATCATTAAAGCTAAATTTATGTTTGCCTATTACTATATATCTTGTTGATTAGAATAGCACAAACAAACTTTTCGTGTAATGGATAGTCTTGTTAGTGTCTAACTATAAAGATTGGGTGAAACATTCATTTTCACCTTTTACACACGCTTTCTAATTTTTTGTCTTTAGATCGAATTAATTAGATGATCAAATTATAGAAAATAACAGAAAGTGTGTGAGAGATAAAAAAAAAGATGTGAGAAGTTAAAAAAAAAAATGTGTGAATAAATCACCCTACAACTTTTATTGATTCCTAAGAGAAATTATTACCATATACTTACATGATTATGTCCAAATAGTTTCAAAAAGCTCTTTTAATTGGGTGTTGTGAGACAGTGTCCACGTGGCAAAAGGAATAGGGTTGATCATGCTTTCTGGTTGGTGGGGGGGGGGGGAGACAGATTCTCTGCTCTTCCACGTGCCCTCCAATATCCTTCTTTTTGTGTAATTACGGTTAAGTCACGTTAATATTTTATATTATTATTTTTTTATTATCTTATTATCTTTATAAAAAAAATATAAAATGTTGACGTGGTTTAACCATGACCATACAAAACAGAAAAACACGGAAAGTAGGAGGGCAGAAAAACGACCTCCGTCTGAGGGAATAGGCAGTTTGATCCACGTCCATATCAGACATACCCCCAAGGAGGCACCCAACTAAAAAAAAAAATTCATGATAAAGGAACCAGCTGAACTGACTCGCAACATACCAGCTACAATTGCAATACATATAGTATAACAAAAACAATTCAATCCTGAAAAAAAAAAAAAAAAAGGAGACTTTGAATGCGGTCCTTATTTATGAATATTCTTTGATTGAAACCTTGTTGGTTTTTTATTTTTGATCGAGGTCCCTGAAATTAATGTGATAATTTATTTCTTTGTACATTACTATATTTTTAAAATTATAAATTAGAAATTTTAGTTGTTTATATAAATGAGATTTTAAATTTAAAAAAAAACATAATTTGTGGGATTAAAAATATTAAAAATATAAATATACTATTGTGTGTGTGTGTGTGTACATGGGTACATTCATCAAAATTAACCAAAAAATTTATTGTATCAAAACATGGGTACATTCTTTAAAAATCAACAAAAAAATAAAGATATTAGGCTTAATAACATTAGTAAATTTCTTCGATTAAACTTGACATGGATACATTTTAAAATCAAAGAAAAAAGAATGTACCCATATAAGTTTAAAAATGGATTAGAAAAAAATTGATAGATTTTATGGAAAAAAAGGGTACATTTTACATATAACAAATTGGTATATTTAAGAAGGAAAAATTAGGTTCTCATCCTTCCTTTTACTACTCAATTGATTAAAATCCTATTCATTTTTAATTTTTGATCAAAGTTCTTGGTATTATTAAATCATTAATTATTTCAATAATTAAATATTTTTTATTTCTAAATATATTCATGTAATGTTAAAAATGTTACAATTAGTATATTTATATTTATGACTAAATTTTTTATCATATATTTTTAGTTTTAGTTTGTATCCATTTTTAATTTGTACCAATTTTCTTTTCAATTTTAATTTGTACCCATATATTAATTTCTTTTTGTGCCCATATTTTTTAAAGTTTATTTGTATTTGTACCCATTTTTTTTTTACTTGTACTTTTTATTTTGCTAAATGTACCCATGCTAATTATATGTACCCATTCATGTAAAACTTTTTAATCTTAAAATGTACTCATTCTTAAATATACAAATTTGTTATATGTAAAATGTACCATTTTTTTAATATAAAATCTATTCAATTTTTTTCTAGTCCATTTTTAAACTTATGTGGGTACATTCTTTTTTCTTTGATTTTAAAATGTATCTATGTCAAGTTTAACCGAAGAAATTTACTAATGTTATTAAGCCTAATATCTTTTTTTTTGTTGTGATTTTGAAGAATGTACCCATGTTTTGATTTTTTTGGTTAATTTTGATGAATGTACCCATGTTTACACACACACACAATAGTAGATTATATTTTAATATTTTTAATCCCACAAATTATGTTTTTTTATTTAAAATCTCATTTATATAAACAACTAAAATTTCTAATTTTTAATTTAAAAAAAATAGTAACGTACATAGAAATAAATTATCACATTAATTTTAGGGATCTCAATCAAAATTTAAAAACTAACAAGGTTTCAATCAAAGAATATTCATAACTAAAGACCGCATCCAAAGTCTCCCAATATCTTATCTATTACTACTCATATTCATCAGACACCTTGTGTGTCTAAAATCATATGGTTGGGGTAGAATATATAAAAACCACTTAAAATAACCATTTGTCCAGACAAAAATTGCCCCAATAAATTCACAATTTCCAACATTACAAATTTGCAGCCACTTATCGGTGATTTGAAGCATCATATCTTCAAAAATTGACAAGCAAACGCGTATTAGCTACGATTATTTAAGGAGGAAAAAACGCAGCCAATTAATTTTGGCTCATCCTGCGGGTAAAGACAAAAACGACATGAAAAGGAAGGCAGGATGAAAAAATCATGACCAATGAAGAGAGCAGGAAAATGTGGGCGCCGCGGTTGCACAGGTTTTTAAATTAGCAAATAATAGCTGATTCATCTATCCACTCATCGAAGCGCGTTTACCAATCTATAATCGGAATTAGAGAAAATAATAACTTATTCATATTATAATCGTTGAGATCAAATGTTGGAGAATATGATTTCACATCAGTCATATAAGAAAATAATATATAATTAATATATTAGAAACGTTACTTATTGCAAAAAAAATTTATAGCTCAAATAGTTAAGAGTATCATTTATCCACTCATCAAAGGTCAAGTTCGCAATTCGAACATGCTCGTCAGCCCACTCAAGTGGCCGCAGGCCGAATGACCTCCATCAATGCCTTCAAATTGCTAATGAGTAGGTTCGATTCATGCCAAATAAGCAAATTTAACATAATAGATAGACCGAATTCAAGAAAACAGAGCAAATATTGAGTTCCAAGGTGCAAAATAGTGATTTTTTTGTTTCAAGGGAAAAACGAGGTTAAACTTGAGTTACAGGAGGTATAGCAAAGAATTTCCACATTGTGTATTAACAAAAATCAGAGCATAAAAAGGGAACAAAAGAAGGAATCACATTCCCAATTGTCAATCAATCTATCCACAAAGCATCCAATCCCAACTAACAAATATATCTAAATTATCAAATCAAATTACAAATTGGTTTCCCTATTCAATTATATGC